CTTTTGCGAACAGAGTTACCCTTCTTGAGTTTAAAAAATCAAAGTGAAACTTGCAAGTTTTTGAATAAATTTCGAAAGAACGCTTTTTTTTAATGGTTACGCTGACAAAACACCTCTTTCGGAGGAAAGGGTGATTGTTTTCTTCGTTTAATTTGACTTTAGAATGAAAGGCTAGAGGTCATTAAAAAAATTTTTTAAACTAAAACTCCACACTGAACGAACCCGAACTGCTGATGAACAGCAGTCAATCTGCGCACCCAAGGAGGTGCTATTCCTATTCTTCTTCTGGAAAAACGAAAGAGCTTCAAAACAGACTGCAGCGCCATCTGAAGCAAAGAGCGAACTTCCGGCGGACACTTTTTTGGCTGAGTGGCCCATCTTGTTATGTACCATCTTCGGTATGACGTAAACTGGCCCAAAGGGACGCTCCGCTGCTGAATGTGAGGTGGCGTCAACAAGCTGAGATTCGAGTTTAAACCACTACGCCGCGTATCTCATACATGTATCTATAACAGTTTTAGAGAAAAAGAAGGGTGTCATGGTCAGTACAGAGGTAAGCATCCCCGCTTGTCACGCGGAAGACAACGGCTCGATTCCCCGCCGGAGAGAGTTCTTTTTGTCTTTAAAAAAGTTTTAGTAGAGGTTTTATGGCGCTCGCAACTGCAGAAGGTCATATGAGCGCCAGAAGACTAGAGTAACAACCAAAAAAAAAGAAAGAAGAATGGGAGATAAGGACGATAGATGTTTGATAGGAAAGAAGAAGCAAACCACACCAGAGCACCCGCCAACCACCTACTCTTTTCGCCTTGATATTGAGAGAGAAGACAGAAATAGAGAGAAAAAAAATAATATAGACGCAAAGAGGTTGACTGGAAAAGATGGAGCAGAAAGGCGGACAGAGAGAAGGAGAAATTATTCAATAAATTTTGAAACAATAAAGAGGAAACGTTACATATACTTTTGTACAGTCTACAGCCCCTTCAAGGTTAAGAAGTACACAACATTATTGTACAGTTCGTAAGACTGGGATTTTGATCATGATGATAAGTATATTAACCACAATAACAATAACAACAACAACAACAGTAAAAATGATAATAATAAATAACAGTGATGATGATGATGATGATGATGATGATGATGATGATGATGATGATGATGATGATGATGATTATGATGACGATAATCATACCTACAGCAGCTGCTGCTACTGTCAGTACTAGAGGTGACCCATATTAAGAATAAAACGTGTTTGATTACCTATAGGTTAGACTTGAACACTTCGAAACTTCGGTAAGTTCTATTTGCCTTTTCATTTTCCATATTAATACTTTTTAATATATTTTTTTTCGCAGTTGAAACATTATATGAAAGGCACTACTCCCTAAGACAAATGGACTTTTTTCGCTTACTAGCAGCAACCAAAAATTAGCATACTTACAGCACAGTCCCTTTTTCTAACAGCCCGTAAGTTGCTCACAACAAAATAAAGACGTCAGCTCGCTTGTCTAGATTTCAGGTCTTGCTCATGAATGAATACTGTAATTTAGATAAATTTTTATCAAAACTACTTAACTAGGGCAAAGAAAAGAATTCGCTTATTGTACGATGGGATATGAACCATTTTCTTTGTACTATAAAGAAAAATATATACAGTCTCAACGTCCAGATTGGGAATTAAATAGAGAATTTTACCTTAAGGCGTTCCCAAAAAGGCCGTTCAAATTTTAAGGTGGACGGGCTTGCCTATACAATCTTTAAAAAAAACAGGCTTGCCTATACAATCTAAAACAAAACAAAAACAAAAAAAACAACAACCATACAACAAAGCTATCATTTTTAATTTTAGAATAAGTTGTTGGTTGAAAGCACAAGTAAATTCATCCTTAAAGTTTATTAATTTGTCTGTACAACACATGGCTAACGGTTGGCGTCTGGCAATCAGCATGGTTTTCCCCGTTGTCTTTCTTAAACAAGGTGAAATTTTTGCTGAATTACATTTCATGGTCTAGATTTAAAATAGAGATATGAGAAAATTTTGTTGTCAGTGAAAGCTTAGACAAGTATACTGTATTTCGGGTTATTTTTTAGCGCGACTTGAATTCGCGATGTCCGCTATCTTAAAAGAAATTCGCCACCCCAGTAGTTCGCAATATTATAAAAGTAGCGCTTCTGCATTGAAACATATGCCACTGGACAACTTGAATCGCAAAATTTAAAACATTCACCAAAAAATGGGTAATACCACCCAAAAAATGATAC